CCTGGTTGCACCCCCGAATGGAAGCAAGTCTTTAATACCGCGAAAGAAGTCTTGCGAAAAGGAAAACGGGGAAATTTTATAAGCTGGGTGCAAACGACAAATTTCTCTTTTTTTAAATGTATGATAATCCGGTAGCAAAAGAATGACTCCATAACCATGAGGTAGGCGAAGTTTCGTATTCTTGTTAATAAGATGGGCAGAGTCCGGTGCTACAACCTACGCGGACGTTTGAAGTCGTACACACCGTTGTCCTGAACGGGTTCCCGCCACCACATTACTTTTCAAGAAGCCTACAAAGGAGCGCATATAAATAATCTTACGGACATATGGAATTATATTCGAGATTTCTCACTGCCTTCAACATTTTAGGATTTGCCCTGGTGCCAACTTGACAGACGCAAAGACCAACCACTAATTATTCGGGCTTGTTATATACCCACGAATACGAGACCAAGGAAGAACACGATATCGTGCCAAATTGTGAGGATGCTTGACCGGGTGCCTTCAGCTTAGCGAGTCCAGTTAAACTACCAAGGTCAGCATCAACGTCGAAAGTCGTCAAACCCTAGGCTATTGATTTTGGGGAACTACGTGACGCTACAGATCACGCCCCCCTAGTGGGTTCGTGAGGACCCTAAGACGGTACCAGACGGAAATAAAAATCCGGTGGCTTCTCCACTGGTAAAACTCTTCTGATGGGCTCACTGCGTGAAATGGCCCCTGGTTGTCTGAACGTATTCTAAGGTGTCGTGGTAGTTAAATAATAAAATACAATAAATGAATTGGCCGTCGACCGCGGTCATCAGTTCTTTTTGACGTCCCGTCCAGTGCTCGTTTCACCCGGAATATAAATAAAAGTCTTTAGTACCACAAAAACGTTTCGTAAAAATGGGAATTATTTATATATAAACATATCGAAAAATGAAAATTCACGCCTATTTTCGCCGTTTTTTAAAAAAAGTTTCATTACATGGTAATAAAAGTTGATATAAAAAAAGGCAGTGTACGAGGGTTCGTACTGAGGTATCGCGTAGAGGTCCGAAGTTGTTTTGGCGTTAAGACTTCGGTAATCACCGGCTGGACGCCAGTCGTTGCTATCCTTTTTGGGGACCATGTGCAATGGCGATGCCTAGGGGCTGTTTGACGGTCTGATTATGCCCAGTTCGGGCATGTGGTCGAATTCGCTTTTCACAGTTTTCAGCTTATCGGGGGCTAAACGGCGCTTTGGATGCTACAGGTGGACCCGTGGTTGTCACGTGATACATAGCATTACTGGTTATGCACGGAAGAGTGTGCTTCGGTTGTTGCAACTCTGGATATTTCTCCAAAACTGATTGGTAGGACGCGTCGCCTGACTGTTTAGTCCTAACGATGGCTAAACTCGGACCCACTTAGGTGGTGCCGCCAATGGATAACTTTGTGTTGTTATCTATCAGTCGTCGACGGCGAGCATCTACGAGTAGATCGTAATGGTTTAGCAAGTCTATGCCAATGACGGGCATAGAAACGTCAGCAAGGAGGAAGATCCAGTGGATAGGTTTACGTAGACCTAAGTTGAGGTAGACATACTGTCTCCCGAATGTTGCGATTGCCTTGCCGTTGGCTGCTTGAAGATTGAAGGATGGGTCATGATGACGCTCCTTCGTCGGTGCGGGAAGAAGGCTAACTTCTGCGCTGGTGTCGACTAGGTAGCGGACTTTCGTTTTAGTGTCGGTGACGCAGAGTAAACGGCTGTTTCCACTGGCTACGGTTTCCGTGAACACCTGCCGGTGTGACCATTTCCCGAGTTTGTGTCCTTGTTAAAACTGCAAGGTTTCCGACATTTTCTGGCTTCGTCTCCGCAAGTGTTATGAAACGAGCACCATTCTGGGTTTCCCACCCTGTTAGGTTCAGTTTTGGGGCTACCACGCGATTTGCTGCGATGCGCCAAGGTGCGTTTCTGTGAAGTGCTACGTGAACTAGTACTCCGAGATAGCAGCAACTGTTTGACAAAGTTGCACAGATTTGTCACCTCTGAATCCTGGCTCACTGGTTTGTCGCAGACAGAATATACGTTGGAGACGGGTCTGCCAGAAATCTCCAGTAATTTATCTGCCGAGGCTGCCAGGTCATCGAGTGAGACTGACTGGAGTGTCACCAACACGGTTTGCACCGGTTGTGGTAGTTTCGAGAGAAATAATTCTCGGAAAAGGCCATTGTCGAGTGTTCGTGCACCGATTACTTCTCGCATGCGTGCGAGGACTTCAGTAGCTGAGTGGCTACCTAGCCCGATGTTACGAAGCAATTCGTCTAGGCGCTGGCGATCTGTGAGATCGCCTTTCTTCAAGAGTGCGGCCTTGAGAAGTGCACAAGGATCACTTACTTCAGGAGTAAACATGTGTGCTGCAACATACCTGTTTAATTCTCGCGGTAGTGACCATATGACAGCAAGAAATCGAGAATGAGGATCTGAGACGCTCTGTTCTCGAAAATCGGCCTCGGCATACAGAAACCATGTTTCTGCATTGTCTGGCCAGTATGGCACGAGTTGGATCGTGTTCACAGTCGGCTTAATACGAATAAGCTTAGGAGTGTGGTCGGACATTAGAAAGTGCAGTAAATGGATATATAAATGTTATTGAAATGAAAACAATATACAAATATAAAATGGAACAGGCTCACCATTCAATATTTGTTATTGGTCGGGCATGTGATCACGTCGGGCTCGCCAATTTAGGATTTGTCCTGGTGCAAACTTGACAGATGCCAAGACCAATCACTAATTATTCGAACTTGTTATATACCCGCGAATACGAGACCAAGGAAGAACACGATAGCGTAGTCGGATGGAATAGTATATTTGGATGGTTGTTCCAAGATACCGATGCGTTCCAAGTAACTGGCTAGAGAGTCGAATACGAGCAGTGCAACGTAACACGACAGCGTGCCAAATTGCGGGGATGCTTGACCGGGTGCCTTCAGCTTAGCGAGTCCAGTTAAACTATCAGGGTCAGCATCAATGTCGAAAGTCGTCAAACCCTAGGCTATTGATTTTGTGGAAGTGTGTGACTCTACAACATGATCACGAGGGGATATGATATGGTCTCGTATGGATTAATGGCAAAATAAACAGCTTTATCCCTTCAAAGGTTATAAATCTAGTAAATATCCAGATCTCTTAACTTCTTATGCGAAGCACATTGTATTTCTTATTAATCACAATGGTGTTCACAACTCGGTTCCAACTGTCCTGGTGTACCCGCTCAAATCAATGGGACAGAAGACGACTATTTGATTGAGGACTATAGGGGAAAAGCAGAAGCCATGGCTGGATATTTTGCGGAGGTCTTCACTCAGGAATCTTCTGTGGATACTTGTCCAACGGTAGAAGCATTGACAATAAGTTCTCTCGATGTAGAACAATCAACGAGCCCAGATGAACTGCACTCAGGGCTGCTCAGAGACTTTGCACTCCATGTACCCGGCCCATTGGCTGCTATATTCAGATTGCCCCTCAGTGAAGGCACGCTCCCCAATGACTAGAAGGATGCCATAGTAACACCTATCCACAAGGCAGGTTCTAGGAGCGATAAGGATGTTCGTGAGCTTCGGGCACACCTAAACAGCTTGTTTGCCTGGTCAGGGAAGCGGCTGATGCCTATCGATCCGCGAAAATGTGTGAGCATGCACTTGGGGCACACATGCAGCAACACCTACAGTATTTATGGGACTCCTTTACCGTCAGTACTGACCCACAGTGACCTAGGAGTCACGATGAGTTTTGACCTGAGAACCACGGATCACTGTCGATTAGTAGCAGCTCGGAGTTTTAGGGCTTTCTGGGCATTACACAGAACATTTACGAAAATAAGTGATGACATGTTCACCATCTTATGCGCATCCTTAGTTAGGTCTGAGTTAGAAAACTACACAGGAGGCTAATCCTTACCTGAAAGGTGACACAGACCTTCTAGAAAGACTTCAGAGGGCGGCCACCCCTATGATCCTTGCAATGGCTGGCTTCACCCATGAAGACCGACTTAAGGAGCTGAACCCCTTCACTTTGTCCTATCGCAGACAGAGGGGAGACCTAATCATGCCATACATGACTCTAAAAAATGACTTCGGGCCTGATCTATCTTCTCATTTTCTTCCCACTCGGTCGGAACACCTCAGAGGACATAGTAGGAGACTACAAAAGCAAAGAACGAACATATTCTCCTCAGAGTACTAGTTCTCGCTTCGAGTAATCAACGCCTGGAACCGACTCCCAGAAGAAGCGGTGTCCGCATCATCAACTGACTCGTTCAAAAGGGGATTGGACAAGCACAGAAATCTACAGGAAAGGGACTAATACGGGCTCCCAGCCTCCTACCCTCAAACAACAAATCTGAATCTGATTGACCAGTGCATACTGTAGCGTGACTAGCTGTCGCCGAAGATAAGTTGGGCCAAGAAATTTCTCAATTGGAAGTGCACAATTTCATTCATTGCCGTATTTATCCAAACACAGGGGACACTTCAAACGGAGAATTAGGGCGAAACATGACAATCTGACTATTTTTCACCTAACTTCTTATAGGCGCGTATCGGTTGATACCATTGGTATAAACGCTTCTGAACTTACTGCAATCTTCATAATAAGCTTAGTTTTCTGTTCTACGTATGGTTACTATGACAGATTTCCGGGGAGCGACAAGAATTTTAGTTACTTGAACTATTTCTTTGCCAAAATACAGATTTGTTTCAATGTACAAACTTGAGCCTGTTATGTTGAGATGTGCTGCCGTGCGCATAAACTACTTGATAAGCGTGGCGGACTGTTTGTGGTCCGGACTCTGGAAGTTATTAAGGCTGTCGACTGTAAGCCGAGTGCTGTTGTCACTTGGTTTAGGGAATTGACTGTTGCGTTTGTTTTTTAAACTCCATAAATGAGTGGAGGCTGTGGGGCTAATATAATGTTCGTGGATGCCATGTAGGTAAATTCGACTATCTGGTCATGTTTATTTCAGGACTGCGAAATGGTAAATGAATCGGCTTATCAACTTCGGAATTCTTCAAGCAAGTTTAGCCGTGAAAGTGAGTGTGACCACAACTCGTTTCTGCGTCAAGCTAGGCGCAGTCGTCGTTCATCATCACACAAAGAAAACAATGGTCCTCCTTTGATTCCGATAAGCCCTCGGTTAACGAGGGCTACCCCACTTAAGAGCATCCACCTAATCAATACAATTGATGAGTCTGCAGCCTATTCATCAACACCGATTCGAAGACCAAAAGCTGCTATGAACCTGCAGAAAAACGCTACTCGCTTGAAGCGTTCTTCTAGTGTCAGATCAAGCCCGGTTGTTACTTCAAGGCGTACTCTACGACGTAGCAGTCGACGTACAATACAAACTGTCCCAAGCGCAGTATTGCAGGTTAGGCTGGAACGTTTCTCTGTTCAATCTCCTGGTACACAGTCTGATGCAGTTGGTGACTCAGATGATAGCAGTTCCGCAAATGAATCCCAAAAAGACATGCCGGCTGTCAAGCAATCAATATCTACTTTTTTTTCTCCACGGCGCTTCAGTTCTACAGAAAAGGATCAGGCAGCCAACTAAAACGACTGAACACAAGACGCATGGAATTTGACGTTCAAGAGTTAAGTCAGTCCATTGGGTGTGATCCTACTTGTATGCTTTCCAATTCTGTTCTCGTAAGTGTTTTATTTGTAACTTTAGATTGTCTGATTACATATTGTAAGATATAACATCAGTCACATGTGTTTATGTAAACCAATTGTATATTCAGATAAGTGAAAAGTCCTGAACTCAGTGCAATCTGAAAGCACTTACTGGTTTAGGCTTTTATCATATAATCACTAGTGTTCGATATCTACTTAGTTTTGTGCATAGATTCAGTTTCTTTTACTCAGTCTTTCGGTGTTCGTACATCAGATTAAACGCACTTCACTTTTCGTTTAATTAATTTCTTTGAATTTCCTAGAATCAGTCTATAATAGGTGATCCTCTGGGAAAACTGTTGCAGTTGTGTGGTCAGACGCACGTCAAGTCCTTTGGTGAATATTTTGAGCATACGTATATAGATCATAAAAGTTACTAATTTTATTCATAGTGTAGTAGAAAGCGTGGTGAAAATTGGTGAAGGGGTCTACGGCGAAGTCTTTCGAATTCCTAAAGGTAATGTGGTCAAGATTTTCCCTGTAGGTGGGGAGCAGCCAGTCAACGGTGAAAAACAAATGAGTTATGGAGATGTTTACCCTGAAGTATTTGTATCACGGTAAGTTTGCGACATATTTTTCACTCTTAACAGGAAGTTGAGCGAGCTTTCATACAAGTGTCGACGCAACCGATCCATGAACTTCGTACAGATTAAGAAGTATATTTCTGTAACAAATCATCCTTTATTTTCAGAGCAACTGTTGTTCAAGGAAAACTTCCTAAAGCTTTGGTCGCAAGTTGGCATAAGTATGAAAATGAACGAGGATCAGACAACGAATGTCCTGACTTCCTACCTATTGAACAGCAATGGATGGTTCTAGAGTCTGAATTTGCTGGTGAGCCACTAGCGAACATAAAAGTAAGCGTTTTTGCGCCATGTTGAATAAAACTTGGTTTCTTTTCCCTAGTGGCAGATCATGCACTAATCATATTTAAGTTAGGTCTTTTCCATTATCCTTAGAAGTAGTTATTTCATCCAAATGCGACCACTTATATCATTTGAATTTCGCCCTTTGTCCTACTTATTTACAAAGCGTCGGAATGCCTTGTTGAGTTGATAGACTTTTAGTAGAGGGGAATGATATTACAGTTATTCATTGAGCAGTATTAGCATGTAACTTGTAATTACCGCGTAACTGTCCACAATGGCATACCTCATGCCGCCACATTAAGACTAAATGTACTGAGTTGAGCATCTGAAGGAAGATGATGAAGTGCTTGAAGGTTGTAAGATGGTATGGACAGTGGGACTGCTTGATAATTTTGATTAGTATGCGCATGCTTTTTCACCTTTAAAATTGATTCTGAGCCATGTCATGGGTCTGCAGCTACAGACTTCGTCACACAGACCCCAACCGGGAAGTCAGAATTCCCCTACTTGGCTCACACCTATAGTTGCCGACTAAACTAAATCCATGTTTTTGCGTGACCGCCTCTAACATTTTTCCAGCCTAAGCTTACTTCAGCAAACACTGCATGATGACGATGGCTAGGGGTATGTATGTATGTATGTATGTATGTATGTATGTATGTATGTATGTATGTATGTATTATTATTATTATTATTATTATTATTATTATATCATCATCAACATAGGACCAGGCATTACTGCGTAACGGTCCGAGTTGCCACACCTCATATCAGCACATCAAGTAAAAAGGTAGTGAGGTGAAGGATGAAGATAAGTGAATGCAGTCAAAAGAAATATAAAGTACGAGAAGAAAGGAAAGAGGAGTGACAAAATAGTGAGATTCGGTATAGCGTTGTTAAGATGAGGATAATGTGTGTATACATCTGCGCCACTGACTTCGGTTCTGAGCCATATCACCTAGGGTCTCCAACCACTGGTTCCTCTTGTCCCGTGGACCCCAACCACCTAGTCTGCATCGTCCTACATGGCTTAAACCAACAGTCAGAGACTTCATACATTGGTGCCATGTTTTAGTCTGGCCACCTCGGGCCTTTTTCCAGCCTGAACCCACCTCAGCCAACATTGTGTGACGAGGCAATCGGTGACTAGGCATACGTAGTACGTGTCCCAACCATCTCAGTCGATGAAGGTTCACAACCTCGTCGACTGACTTACCTCTTCTCCCCAAAACTCTACACCTAACTTCTGCATTACTCACATGGTGACACCACGGAATACGTCCTATACTACGAAGGCAACGGTGGTCAAACACCTGAACCTTTTTGTGTCTTCCACTTTCAATGGCCATGTTTCACAGCCATACAGTAGAACAGAGCGGACTGCTGTGCAGTACACGCGACCCTTAATAGACAAACGAATATCACGGCGGCGCCATAGGTGGCGCAAATTGGCAAAAGCCAATCGAGCCTTTTGTATCCGTGCAGAAATCTCATCGGCAACTAACCCACCGGGTTGATCCTACTTCCCAGGTAAGTGAAGTGGTCAACACACTCAACCACTTCACTCTCTATTGTTAACCGCGGTACCGCTGAAGACCAGTCCTGGAGCAAAAATTTGCATTTGGGTGGTGAAAATCGCATCCCAAACATTCTCAAATTCCCACTCAAAGTGTTCAGAAGACTCTGCATCTTGTCAGCGTCTTCACCTAACAGGACTATGTCATCTGCATATTCTAGATCTAAGGAAAATTCACCTGTGATCGGTCAACGTCTTTGTAATTAGGTGACGAGAGGGAAACCTCCATAAGAATATCTATGATAAAATTAAATAAGAATGGGGATAGTGGGCATCCTTGACGGACACCACTTGATGAGTATAGCTCCCTGGACAACTCACCATAGGCTCTAACATGCCCACAAGTGTTCGAGTAGAGAGCTTTCAATAAGGTGATGTACTTACTAGGCACGCCTTTCAGTGACAGACACTGCCATAAGACTTCTCGATCAACGGAGTCAAATGCCGCCTTCAGGTCGAGAAATACAGCTATTGTCGGGCGTCTGTAAGCATGCCTATGTTCCAGGACCTGGCGCAGTGTGAATATTTGGTCGATACATCCACGGCCAGGTCTAAAGCCTGCCTGGTTTTCTCGGGCTTGCTGTTCCCGAGCTCCACTCAGGCGTCGGAGAATTATAGAACTTAGGATCTTAGACACTATGTTTGTCAGGCTGATTCCTCTGTGGTTATCACAAGAGGACTTCTCGCCTTTCTTGAAGACTGGGATGATGAGTGACTTAGACCAGTCGGAGGGGATCGTATTTGATTCCCATATACTGGCTAACACTTCCGTTAGCCTGACTAAGAGAACTCTACCACCATTCTTGTATACCTCAGCAGGTAGTCCGTCTGGTCCTGCTGCCCTTCCCCGTTTCAGGCTACCTACCGCTTTCTCAACTTCTTCTAGTGTTGGGGGACCTGTCTCTATGTCCCATTCAGGGTCCGACTGGATAGCGGGCAGCGCAATGGTGGCTGGAGGCCAGTTAAACTGTTCCTCAAAGTGTTCTGCCCATCGTCCCAGTCGCCTTCCCTGCGAGTGAATCGCCGATCCGTCCTTCTCCGCTATAACCTCACTAACTGTTGTTGACCATTTCCCCCAGTCTCCTTAATAAGTCTAAATAACTGTCTACTGTTACCGATCGCCGCTGCCTTTTCCATCTCTTTAGCCTTTGCTGCCCACCACTGTTCACGATCGTTGCGCAGACTTTTCGTCAGTTATTTTTAAGTTGCGCTCGCTCTTCATTGTACTCAGAGCCTGCAGGGATGCATTCACGTGCATCCATTAGTTTGGAAGAAGCTGCTGATATCCACTGGCTCTTTTTAGCCATTATCTTGGAGTCGGCTACAGTCTCCAGTGCTGCTTTTACAGTAGACTGAAGATGGCACCAAGCTTCTTCTGGATGAGTGACAGTCTTTTGTTCCGATAACTGCCTAGCCAACTTCTCACTGAACACGGCTTTGGTGTTTTCGTTGTCCAGCAGAACTCGTAGTGGTTTTGTTGCCAAATTTTTTCTACGTCCATTGAGACGCAGGCATATACGTGCTCGGACCAACGCATGATCGCTGTCCAAACACGTACTCCAGAAGGAGCGGCAGTCTTCCACCGATCCTCTCCAGCGATGACTAATAGCAATGTGGTCTATCTGTGTCCATCGCTGAGTCGAGCTCGGTGGACGCCAGGTCAGACAGTGCCTTTCTTTATGTCTGAAATTTGTGCTGGCTAAAAATAGGCGGTTATCTGAGCATAGTTGTAATAGGCGATCACCGTTATCTGTACGTTCAGCTGGGATTCCGAAAGTGCCACCTAAGTGCCTTTCTGCCTCACTCAGTCTACCCACCTGTGCGTTGAGGTCACCTGCAACAACCACTACGTCCGAACGTTTGGCTTTCGAGAGGAGGTTAGACAGTTTATGGTAGAACTCGTCCTTCACTTCATCCGAACTACAGTCAGTGGGTGCGTAAGCAGAGATTACAAAGAGACAACGGCGAGTCTCACTATTCCTTTTAGTTCTCACTGTGCCGTTCAGCCTCATAGCGCAGAGGCGACTATCAACTGGGATCCAGTCTAGTAGTGAGTTTTCTGCCCTGGTGCTTAATGCTATACCTACACCTGCAAGACCACGAGAGCTAGCTATCGAATCTCCAGAAACTCGAAGGGTGAATTTTGCAGATTCACCAGATTGGTCAGGAGAGGTCAGGTGAATAACCACACTTGGGTCCTGTATGCGTGTCTCACAAACACAGCACACATCCATGCCTCGAGTTGCTAGAGTCTTTGCCAACGAAGCCTGTTGGCCAATTTGACGGAGGGTGCGGACATTGAAGGCTCCAATATGTAATTTGGAGCGTGGTTTAAGGAGACCAGGGATGCTGTTCTGTGGACTCAGATCGTTGTCGAAGGCTGCAGAGGTAGGAGAAATTGAAGATGATGCAGCATCATTAATTAAGAGACGTGAAGGAAGATTAGAAGGTAATGATGGAGGAGGAGGATAGCAGTCAGAAGAAACTTGGGTGCTGACAGAGTTGTGAGGGCGGTTGACACTTCCCGGCTGCCCACACCGTGGAAGGCTATTTCTTCTTAAGGTACCTGAAAGAGATTTGTGTGACCGCAGAGCCCATCGGACATCTGCTTGAGGCCTGTCACACCCAGCCTTTTGAGTATGATTATTTTGAATTTTTGTATTTTTGGGGCCGGATGGTCGAAAGGAAACGACAAGTGAACCAACACCGCCGGCCCGGCAGACCGTGGGGCGTGGTGGAGTGTGTTATTTTTGGGGCCGACCTTTTCTAACCCCCCCTTCCACTGAGAAGGCAGCATCAGCTTGGCACTGCTGGTCATCCAAGGGAAACACCTTACTGCTGTCACACCCCATCCAGCTAGCAGCAGTACGACTTCGCCCTCAGACCCCCATCATAGTGTAGCAATTTACACTATAACGGTAACTGCTTTTCGTCTAACCACTACCCAACAGACCTTTCTGGTATGGTAGGACCTCGAGGGAACAAGCGTTCCACCAGCATAGCTCGTTGGGTCATTGTGATATGCAAGCCCGACCACCACGTCAAGGTAGCAGCTATCGGTCGGGGAAGACATACGTACGTAGAACATCCCAGTCCCCTCAGACAATAAAGATACCCAGTCTCATTACTTAACTAACCGATTCTGCCTAGTAAGCTGCCCCTGACATGATGACACTGCGACAGGGCTTATGCTACGAAGGCAGCGGTGGTCACTTCACAATTGACGATTAAGCAATCGGATATCGCAACGGCGCTATAAATATCGAAAGCCAACCAAGTTTGTCGTATCTGTGCAGAAATTTTGTCGTTCACTGATCCACTAGCACTAGTTCGGCTTCCTAGGTAGGTGACGTAGTCGATACGTTCAGCCGTTTCACTCCCAACTGTTGGACGGGGCGCCACTGAAGAACATTTCTGGAGCAACGGTTTGGATTTGGTTGATGAGTAACTTATCCCAAGTATTCAGTGTGCCAAGAGGACTCTGCAGTTTTTCAGGGTCTTCACTTAGCAGGAGTATCATCTACATGCTCTAAATCTTCTTAGGTTCCTTCTATTAGAAGATGGATCTCAGTGAAAGCAGATAACAAGAAAAGGAAGTAAAAAAACAGCTTCCTTGTGGACATCCGTGTAGTAGGCAGTAAACCACACCTATTGTGTGAGGGTTAGTGACACTACCTGGCTGCCCAAACCTCGGTAGGCAGGGCGGGACTTGAACCCTCGACCGACTGGTTGAAGTCATCTCTAAACTGCTGGACCACAGCTTCAGCCAGATGATTAGAGGGAGACCTCCATAAGTACGTCTGAAATAAAGCTGACAGTAAAACACCCACAGATGTCCTAGTATAGAGCTTTCAACAGAGTAATGTATTTACTCGGCGGCCTTTTCAGTAAAAATGCCATAAAGCCACTCAATCAACGGAGTCGAATGCTGCCTTCAGGTCAGTTCAAGAAGTCTCTGATTGTTGTTCTGAGCCATGTAGGAAGGCGTGGACTGAATGTTAGGGTCCTCGAAACGATTAGAATATATGGTTAAAAACCTTTTGTGACGGCTGAAAACCGGTCATGATAGCACAGATGTGTTCACTTTTTGACTTCAGTTTGAACATTTTCACTAACCCTCATTTTTCAATTTCTCCTCCTACAAACTTGTCTACTTTAATATATTTTCTCTAACCACTTTTTCTTCGCGTACCGCTGATAAGTGTGCTAACTTGAGTCGACACACTTCTGTGCAACGTTCTACGTCTGTCAATGAAAATATTCAAATTTCAAAGCTGTTTGAGATAGAGTACGTATGCCACCAAGTGAACGGTTTTCAATAGTCAGTCAGTCTTCCAATGTCTTGGTTTGACCACCCTTAGCCTCCTTCCAACTCCATTCTACTTTGGTTAAGTTTACATGTCTGTTAACCGTAGCTCAGTATGCACATCACATGTCCAGGCCGTAGTCTGAGGGTTCACACTTTCATCGGTTGACTTACCTTCGTTCCGTCTCTTGACCCTTATATTGCTCACACGTTGATTCTACCACATACGGCCAATGCTACTAAAACACTTGTGGTCTGTCCTCACACCCTCTTATTAGGACGTAGCAGACTGCAGCGCAACGTGTTCATCCTTTGGCATGTCGATTTACATGAGTAACCTTAAAAAAGCCTCTGAATTTCCTGTCGTTCATCGAGTAAATTTTGGAGATGTAGCACATTTATCAGATTAGGACAACTAAACAACCATATTTGGTTCCTTCATGCATGTTTCAGGCACACTAGATCTATGATTTCATATTCCAGAGTTTCAGTGAGTAAAGTTTGTTGTTGGGTTTAAGATGGAGTTCGACATTATAATTTCCAACGTGAAATTAACAACGGAGTCTTCAGAGATTGCGAATGTTCTGTTTTGAGTTGTCAACTACAGACACGGCAAAAACATGCGGCAGCTTCACTGAACATAGATTACAAAAGCAGGTAGTGAAGGCAGTGAAAGAACCAATGGTAAGAAAAGTAGGTTGATTTGATTACTGTTGGGAGCGTGAGTGCGGTTGGTACTTCGTTACTGCTCTTCAGTCTTCAATAGCAGCATTGTTGCCTGCAATTGGTCATTAGGGAAATATTCTATGCTTTTACAAGATGTAATTCGGTCATAAATTACATTTCAAATTTATTATTTATTAAATCCATTTGATTAGTACTTGGTTCAACATATCACTTTTTAAGTGTCAACAAAAGACTTTTGATGCTTTTTTCTTTTTTTTTTACTTAGAATATGGCTTGAGTACTTTGTCTAAATTTTCTCTTCTTTTTCGTTAAAGTTCAACAATTGTCGTGAGGCACGTTCTGTAATTGAACAAATAGCACTGTCTCTAGCTGCTGCAGAATCGGCCCTTCAATTTGAGCACCGAGATTTACACTGGCATAATGTATTAGTACGCCCAACTCGACAGTGGAAAATACGTTATCGTGTAGGGGGAGTGGGTTATGCTGTTATGACGGAAGGGATACAAGTTACAATTATTGATTTCACAGTATCTCGCCTTTGCCATGGTAAGTTATACATTTATTAAGACATTTAAGATGAATGAACTGAACTGAACTTGATTCAGTATATCAAATGATACTTTTATATGCAGTTTTGTATGCATGTAATAAACTGCACTGATTAGTTTAAACTTCATCTGTTTAATAATAAACAGTATTTCATAGACATGCTATCTGAAGCAACGTAGGATCTAATTCGGTCACAAATCTCTCCACATTTCTATTCTTAACGTTAACACTAAGTGGAAACTAGCCAAGAAGGAAAACGGTGACGGTGCAGGAAGCAAAAAGTGCCGATAAGAATTACAACTTATCAAAATACTAACTATTTGGCTCTAAAACAGGCTTAGTGTAATACGATAAATTTTGAAATACATTAACGTGTTTCCAATAGCAGATTTCATCTCTTTTGTAGGATTTGATTCACAAGCCTACAGTCCCTCAAGCGGCTCAACTGCTAATCAGAACTTCATTCATTCATCAGACTTCTGATCAATAGTATTTAAATGTCATTCATTATAGTTTTTTGTGTTAATTTTTCAAAAAAGTACCAGTTGACATTGGTTTTTACATCATATTGCAATCGTCTCAGTTTGTCTACTTTGCATATTGTTGGTTTGGTTTTCATAAGGTTGTTTTGTAGACATCAAATATTTTAACTAGTCATTTTGTAACAATTCTTTGTCTTCGGCGAATAATTATGCCAAGAATTTAAACGTTAGATTTTTGGATGAATTTGCTTCTGTTACTATGTCATAACACATGATTTAAAAAAAAAGCCATTTCCACTCACCGTCAGTTCACTTCTGTTTTGTTCCTTTAAATTTTAGAAGGTAATATTGTTTATGTTGACATGTCGGAGTCTCCGGAAATTTTCGAGTGTGAAGGTGATTACCAATTTGATATCTACCGCATAATGCGTGACATAAATCGGTAAGGAATATGAAATAGTTTCATGTTACCGATCCTTATTCTATATGGTTTTCCTTGGATGTATAGTGCTCAATCATTTCAATAAGCATATAAAAGGATTTTTGTTTGAAATAGTACTAAAACTCTTACTTTGTAGATCTGTCTTGGTTGCCCTTATAAGGTCTGAACTTCTACTTTGATAAGCAAACGGTAGATGCTTTCCATCGCCACTTGGTGGTAGTGTCGTTCTTTCCAACAGCTTTGAACCATGAATACGTCTTGAAATTCCATTTTTTCTAATCAAAGTCTCAAACTGCACTCTGTCTGCCAAGGTTTTGACATCAGTAATTTCATGAAGCAAGTATGACTGTCTAGTGCGAAAAACTGCTTGTGATTGTGGAATTACATCATGTGTTTTCTTTCTGATAGCCTCGATTTATTTCATGATCCATATGTACTTTGTTTACTTCACCTTGAAGTAATGCACTTCTGTGCAAGTTTCTGCATTGATCTATTTCTCAGCCTTTTATATAAATTATCTTGATTATAAAATAGACTCTTATGTAGTACTGACAATTGACTCAATCTTATTTAGATTTAAAGTACTTAGTCCCTTAATAAATCTCCGTAACGTTATTAGAAGACGAAAATTATCTGAAAAATGTGATGTGTTTACACAACACATTTAGAACAACCTGATCAAGTCAATTTACATATAGAAATGAAAGGAAAAACTAAAGGTCGAATATAATGAATATGAAAAGGTTGTGACACTAGTCTTGATAATATAAACAGATAAAGAGTACCCAAGTTGAGTGAAACAATAAATTGTTTTTGTATGCACAATGGGGGCTTAAGTTTACGAATGGCTAACGCTTCGACAAATTTCAATATTCACCGCTGACTGTTCCTATTATATCTTGAACACTGTTTTCGTATTAACCTTATGATTCATTTCGATGATGTTTTGCTATAGATGAAGATGGATGTGTCACCTGCACTTATCAAAGTTTGTGCATTAAACTGTTCTTCAAGCCATTTATGTATATGTTCACCTACCCTAGTCTGCATTGAACGGTTACTTCTCCCTATGTATGTGTTCCCATACATGCATGTAGATTGGTAAACACAGTGGGATATGACACAATCATTTATGCGAGGTTGAGGCCTGTTGCGAAGGTGTTTTGTTGTCTCAACAGTGATAAGCTGAGCTACAAAGCATTTTTTACTGATAACAGATTTCAATCTCTGCTTCAATATCATATTACTCGTTTCCCCTTCTGTATGGTACTTTAAAAATATATTCTTCTTAGGGACCGAGGAAATTATAAGCTTTGTCGTCAGCTGTTTTTTACGATTCACAAACTGTAATCCGTTTCCATAAGTGTGTCCGTCAGAAATTTCCTCTCATCATCCATCGTATCAAATTTACTAATATGTCGGATGCTAGGTCTCTCTTATATTTCATCGGACAGGAGCCGTAGAAACTGTAATACTTTCCTGTCTCAGTAGGTTTTCTATAGAATGACCGTCTGATAGACCCATCTCTCCGACATAAGAGCATATCAAGAAATGCAGGTTGATGATCGTTTTCTTGCTCACATGTCAGGCTGATATAGTATTAAGCCTTTTTAACCCCCCGGGCATCCTCATCTGTGTCATGTATTACAAAGATATCACCAACATACCTTCTATAGAATGTGACATTACTGATTAAATCCTGAGCCATTAGTTCAATATGTGACATATGCATCAGCTAATAACGGCCCTCAAGGGCTCCCATAGCAACACCATCAATTTACCGGAAGTGTTCGCCTTCGAAAGTGAAATGAACCTTATGAATGCATAATACAAGTAGCTCTTTCAAATGCATTGGGGAAAAAGGAAAAGAGGGGTAATTCGAGGATATATAATCGCAAAGAATATTCTGTCTTCTTTAGAGGTACGCACAAATGATTGTCACATCCCACTGTGTTTACCAATCTACATGCATGTATGGAACACATACATAGGGAGAAGTAACCGTTCAATGCAGACTAGGGTAGGTGAACATATACATAAATGGCTTGAAGAACAGTTTAATGCACAAACTTTGATAAGTGCAGGTGACACATCCATCTTCATCTATAGCAAAACATCATCGAAATGAATCATAAGGTTAATACGAAAACAGTGTTCAAGATATAATAGGAACAGTCAGCGGTGAATATTGAAATTTGTCGAAGCGTTAGCCATTCGTAAACTTAAGCCCCCATTGTGCATACAAAAACAATTTATTGTTTCACTCAACTTGGGTACTCTTTATCTGTTTATATTATCAAGACTAGTGTCACAACCTTTTCATATTCATTATATTCGACCTTTAGTTTTTCCTTTCATTTCTATATGTAAATTGACTTGATCAGGTTGTTCTAAATGTGTTGTGTAAACACATCACATTTTTCAGGTAATCTTCGTCATTTGGATTTGTTGAAAGTGAACTGTTTGATATGATGAATATGATCCTGTTTTCTTTACAGAAACGATTGGCGTCCTTTCCATCCAGTATCCAACCTTTATTGGCTCCATTATCTCATGGGTAAACTTCTGAATGAAACTTCATATCCAAGACGGATCCTGATTCACAGCCTGTTGAGTCTGAACTGCGTGCATTATATGATACTATACTCAAAAGTGATTACAGGTCAGCCACACAACTTGTGAGTTCTAGTTTCTACTTTGATAACTGTCGAATTGGCTAAAATGAATAGAGAAACAATAGTTAAACTCTTAAAATCACAGGAACTATCTACGTGTACAATTCGTTTCCATTTCCAAACATATTTTCGACTGTTTTCTTGTTCTTTCTAAAACATCCGATCTCTTTCCTTGTATGTTATTTTGAAAATTTGTGAAGGTAACCCAAAACGAAATTGCATATTTAACATGTAACTCTTTATAAGGAAAATGTTTATTCAATTCAGTTCTGCTTCAAAGCTTTTAATCTTTCAGAAATTATTCGTTTTCACGGATTTAATGTATTTTTGACCAGTTCTAAATATTTCTGTATACTTCGTCGTACAATTAAATTCTATAATTTGTGATGACGCAATTGTCTTTTTCTAGTGTTTACACTTCAGATATCTACTGTGCTGTTAAGCAACCACATGTTATATAGTTATGAATACAACGTGGAGTTGTAACTAAAAATAGTTTTTTCTATACATTTGACTTTGAAATGGTTATGGTTTCAAGTAACTTATGAAACTACGGGAAACATACTGTCTCCTTCCAATTTGTAACGTCTCGTTAGTCTGTTAATCAAACGGAAACCTGGACTAATTTAGAAGATGAACTAGTTATTAGCACTAACTATTTGTGTAATGACTATCGATGTGTATTACCATCGGCTAATTATTCAATGAACTTTATTACTCATAAGTGGAAAAAGTTTTAAGATTTGGTCTTGTTATCAATCCACATAGAAAGTTTGGTGTTTTGGACATGGAATTATTTCTTTTCAGATACTAAAAGAACGTTTCTTTTGTTCACACGCAATATTTTTCACTTGACCTACAACAGTTTTAAAAGGCACCAAAAGTGTCTAGAGTCCATTCCTTCCATTTTCAGATGTATAAGATTTTCTTGCTGAGTATACATACGGCAGCAGAAAACTACAGGTGACTCACCAATAGTTATGTTTTTAATCCTTACAAACTGACTATAAACCTTTGAGTTTCTTACTATCTGGAGAGTAATGTCTTGCACCATCCCAAACTAACTTGAAACTGTTCTTCACTATACAAGCACTACTATAAATCGATTAAGACGTGAAATAAATGATTGGTTTGTAAACTGAGTTTTCAAGTAGATACCTGTAGATCTTAATGAATCTGTCAGCGCTAAGAATTTGGTGAGATGCTAATGCTGTCGTCTAGCATGACCTAGGGAAACCCATCAGCATAAGGAAACACTGTCTCACATAGCGTCCACCTCAATCAAACTAGCTATGAACACATACAGTTCGTATTGTTTGAGGCATCGGTGGGGGATTGCTGCTTTTTCTGGAGTGCCACTTTGAACTGCGATCGCACGTTGGTACGGGCATGTGTATGTATGGCCTTACTGGTCACAGAAAACAAGCAATGGTACAGGCTGTCTATGGTCGACTGGGAGATAAGAACGTCAAGTTCGTATTCAAGGAGCCGTTAACTACGCATTTATGTTAACCCGACAGCAATGCTCACCACTGTAGAAACAGCCGTAAAGACAGTTGGTAGCATACACCCAGAGGTTAGCAGACGTCGTTGGATTTCCGCAACGTCATCCAAACTAATTTATACGAGACGACTGATTCCAGCTGGGTCTGACGACAATGAAGAGCGAAAGCAACGTAAACTGAATAAGAGTCCCCGCAGTGTTGGCGAAGTAAGTATGTCATGTGCTTTGTATCGTTGAAGTGCAAAGTTCTCTTGGGAGATTGACAGAAGCCTGTGGCTGCGCTCACTCTTGTTGGTGAGCGGTTGGAAGTACCCGAAAAGTTCGTGTATCTGAGTAGTGTGTGTGCTGGTGGAGGTGTGAGTGGTGAGATTTCCAACCGCGTATCGAAATCAAGATTGGCGTACGTCAATCTGAGCCATCTTTGGCGCCGTCGCGATGTTAGTCTGACTGTAAAAGGTTGGGTTTACAACGCTTCGGTGCTAGCAGCTCTGCTCTGCGCCTGTGAAACCTAGCCTTTCCGAGCTGAAGATACAAGCTGACTCCGTGTTCGATCATCGTTTTCTCCGCAGGGTTGCTCGTATCCAGTAGCAACACCATGTAAGTAATCCTGAGGTACGACGGCGTGTTTGGACATGATAAAGATCTTCATTCAACGGGTGAAGTCATCCGGAAACACCGGCTTCGATGGCTTGGACATGTGTTGCGCTTGTCGTCCCAACGGCTTCCATAGCGTTCATTGTTTGCCAGCCCTGGAACTAGATGAATGAATCGGAGGAGTGGTCAATGTATGACAACACCGTGGGATGAAGGGTAGCTGTATCGGGTTAGCATGTATTGGTTCACCACAACTCTCTTGGTGGGATCCGAGAGATCACTCAACTCAATGGCTTGAGACTACCAGATATGGCTCAGAATCGAAATCACTGGCGGTCATGCTGTAGCTTGCTTCTATCTTCTGGTGCTGAAAAGTAATGAATGTCTTGTTTTGAATGTATTTTATTGAACTGCCCTTCTAATCATTCTATTCATGCTTGATTTTTATCCGCTTCTCTTTATGTCTTCATGATGTTATATTATTTTGTGTAGCTCATTCCTTGGTGCCCTCGCAGTACCAGGTTTGTGTCCTACTAATAATAATGGTAGTAATGATAATAACAGTAATGATAGTAATGATGGTGTTAGTGATAATAATGATGATAATAATAACCGTAATAATAATATTGGTGCGCAGTGGTGGGTGGCGAAGACAAGAGAGATTGAGAAGACATCAGCGTTGGTAACACTCGGAAACCATTTAGGCTTATGAAGGAGAAGACGATGGTTAGTGAAGCCGTCACGGAAAAGGATGGGATACTGATGACTTCTCAAGACAGGCAGCTGGATCGTTGGGAGGTCACTGAAACACAGTTCAATTGGGTCTCAGCAACCCTTCAGTTGATTAACATCCAACCTGAACCTGATCGGGATGCAGATGTCGTTCTTGCAACTCTTCTTAAAGTTGAGAAGGTTGTTTCGAACCTGAAACGACGCAAAGCAGCAGCACCTGACATTTTGCCACCCTGATTTTGCAAGGATGGAGGTAGAAAATTGGTGATTGGAGTGGCGGAGGTACTAGGTAGGGTATTGGAATAGGAGGTAGTGCCGTCAGACTGATCTACTACATTGATGATCCCAGTCTATAAGAAGGGAGAGAAATCTTCTGACAAGCATGGGGAAATTAGTTTGACTTATGTTGTACCCAAGATCCGTGGGTCCATAGTCATGCGACGCATTACAGGAAATCGAGGGGAGGAAACTAGACAGGTTTCAAGCCTGGAAGAGGGTGCGTCGACCGTATTTAGACCCTTCTTCAGGTTCAAGAATACAGGCAGTGCTTACAAGTCAACTCCCGACACTTGCCATGTTTTTCTACCTGAAGACAGCGTTTGGCTCTATCGACCGCGAGGTGTTTGAATGTCAGACTGTTTAGGACGTACCGAGAAATTGCATAATGCTTATCACAGCTCTCTACTCGAACTCACACAGCCGTGTCAGAGCTTATGGGAGTTGTCATCGAATTGATGCCAAGTAGTGTTGTCCGCCAGGGATGCCCACTGTAACCGTTCCTATTCAACTCTGTTATAGACGTACGAATGGACATAGCCTTAAGTACATCTGATTTCACAGGGATTGGTCTACTCCCTGGAGGTCGTCTGGTTGACTTGAAGTATGCAGACGATATTGTCCTGCTAGTTGAAGACGCTGACAAAGTGCTGGGTCTTCTGAACGCGTTGAGTGGAAATTGGAGTGTTTGGCATGTTTTGCTGGCACATGTGAAATTTAAGATGATTCTGCAAGACTCATCTGAAACGACTTTTTGTTTAAGGATAGTGATTAAAGTGGTGGAATGTGTCACTTACTTGGGGAGTTGCTTCACCTTTTATGGTTTTGTTGCTGACGAAATCTCAGCTCGGATACAGAAGGCCGGTTGGGATTTGCCAACTTGCGTCATTGGCAGTTCTGACTGACAAGATGTCCAACTACATGTCGAAGGACCAGTGTGCTGTTCTACAGTTCGTTCTTTCCTGTTATGCGCCGTTTAAAGTAGAAGACATGAAGGGTTTTGATCCTAAGTCTCTCAATAGCATTGCTTGCGTTTGTTGGGATCATCACGTAAGCAATGTTGAGGTCAGGCGAAGGGTACTTGGCAAGACAGAGAAGTCGATTGGTGAAGTGAACCTTCACTGACTGAGGTGGCTTGGATATGTGCTGCGCATGCCTAGCCACCGCCTATGCTCACGTACCATGCTTCGGGAAGCTGTATAAGATTTGACACCGGCTCACGTTAGCCAGCCTAAGACGTAGCACTAGTGTATGCTGCCTATGATTGTTTGTCTGAGCCATTTCGAGGGGGGGGGGAATTTAGACTACCGGGTTGGGGTTTTTGAGGCGACAGGAGAGAGAGGTGGATTATCAAAGTTTCACAAGTTCGACCATTTATTTGCTCCTAATCCTGTACTAAAATGTGACTAGTATTATTATTATTATTATTATTATTATTATAATTATTATTATTATGAACCTCGCCTGGTTAACTAGTTTACTAGTTACTAGCCGGTCCTAAGCCCGGGTAAAGAGGGAAGGTTGGGCATAGGGCTAGCAACCCTACCCCGTAAAACAAATCTAACCGCTAAGGAAACTTCAAAGCACAAACAAAATATAAAAAATGAAAACAAACTTATTCCCCGCTGGAATCGGAGGGGCGAAATGACGTCAGTTGGTGAAAGCCTTCGGGAAGCCAATTGGCCGATGTGTCTTCTCTTCTCTCGATGAAAGCGAAAGTAAACGTGGGGACATGGAATGTCCGCACGATGTTTGAACCCAGTAAGGCAGCCCAGGTTGCAAAGGAGATGAGAAGGTATAACATCGAAGTGCTTGGGATTTGCGAAAGCAGATGGAATGGGAGTGGACTCTCCAAACTGTCGACTGGAGAATCAATAATCTACTCCGGTCACCCAGACGCC